GGGGGGGGCAGCTGGTGATAAGGATATAGACCTAGGGTAGGGTCATAGGCCTGGCCTATACGCCCTACCCAAGGTCACTACCCTAAAAGCAAAGGCACCCAAGAGACAACAGGGAGTACCAATTGAAGGCGTCGAGTGCAATCCACTCGACCAGTCACACCACTCGGGTACCCCTTCCTCCTGACATCGCTCGACCATACAAGAAATAACTCGACCTACTGAAGACCAGGAGCCGTACAGGACAACAACGGTCAGGCGTTCACTCCGTAGTCTTCAAAAGCATATATAACACTTTATAGCTGGTGTTATCAGTAACGCCCTATCTTTATGTACATTGAACCCTACTAACGGAGGTGGGCTGGGTCCTGGCGCACTCTATATAAGACACCCCCCTCCTCTGGGACAAGGGTCCGCCCCCCTTGTAACACACACATCATATTCCAGTCGACCGCCTCAGGGCACCGAGACGTAGGGCTTTTACCTCCTCCGTGAGGGGCCTGAACTGGTAAACACTTACATACAATCTCGTCGTAGCTAGGACCTTGCCTCCTCATTCGTACCCCCTATACTTACTGTCAGACTTAGTACCACGACAGTTGGCGCCCACCAAGGGGGCAAAGCGTCTTAGCCACTTCCGGCGAGGTTGCATTTTCTTCAATCTTCATCAACATGGTTTCCGGCGACGGTTTGTTCATGGGCCGCGAGTTCCGACTCGGCGTGCTCACTTTCGTCGCCGACGACTCCGCCTGGCTTCAGGAGGCCCCCCTCGACGTCGAGGCCCTTCTGATTCATGGCTTGTCACACTTCCGCGCGAGTGCATGCGGCGTCCTCCTTCGGCAGTCGTTGACTCTGTATTAGTCAGTCCTCGTGTCGTTGTCTCACTCTGCTGGACACCACCGCAAGTGATCTGGTCGTTCGCGGCTCCAGCGGTGGGTGAAGCACGCGGTGGCCCGTCAGGCGTTCACCCCCCAAGTCACGGTGATCGAGCCCGACGTATTTCGCTGCGGGTCAGTCGACCTGTCGACTGATTTCGCAGACACCTTTTCCCAGCGGGAGTTGTGACCCCGCGGCGGAAGTCTTCGTGGTCAACTCCCATCGCGGTCCACCAGGTTTTCGTCGCAGCGGCGGCGACGGTGACGGCAACGGCCCATCATTCGGCCATGAGGAGTATCTGCCTCAACCTCAGCTCACAGCAGAGGGGGAGTTGCACCGCCGCAACGTGGAGGCTCTCCAGACCCCCATCATAGGGGAAACCGCCGAGGCTCGGCCTTGGAGGCAGTGCGCCTGGCCACGCTTGCTGAGCGCACCCGTTTGGAGAATCTCCAACATTCTCTCGACGAGCGTGCCTGTCAACTGATCCCTGGGTCCAGTCGGTGTTCACGGCAATTGTTTCCACCGGAAACTCAGGTATTCCGCACACCGATTCAGAATTTAGCAGCTGCTGCATGTATCACAGAGTCTGTTCAGCCGTCCTTTTCAGAGGCTGGAAGGGGCTTGGAACAGATCAGAGCACTGCTCCGAGCAGCGGGAGACCAGAACCCCACTGTGTCCTAGTCGCAGAACAGAATCCACAGCAGGTCAGTAAGAGCAGACACCGTTTAGTCGGTACACAGTCCTAGGCCGCCTTTGCAGCGTTAAGATCATGTTCGCCGCCAGGATGGGCATCTAGGAAGAGCTCATGGAGAGTATGATCGCGAGTATGCCCACGACAACCACCGTCGAGCGCCTTCACCCCTTCTGAGGGACAGGTCAAATGCGCCCCGGGATATGATGACATGCGTTCGTATGAAAATGACCACATAGTTCCAATCGACCCCAGAGAGCCCGGCTTCGATGCAAGGTCCGTCCTTGTGGAGGGTTTGGCTGAATAGAACAGAGCATACAAAGAAGGGTCGGATAGAGACAGGCCCAGTGGAAGCAGGGTCCACATTTCTGGCCCAGAGTGTTTCGGAAGAGCCATCAGAGCCGCTGAGATCCCTCATAACTTCAGATTGGCAACTAGCGTCAGTAAGTTCACGGGAGAGTCGAAGCCCGACACTTGGCTTGAGGACTACCGAGTGGCTGTGCACATTGGTGGTGGTAGCGATGAGGTGGACATGAAGCACCTCCCTCTGATGCTTGAAGGTTCTGCTAGGGATTGGCTGACTCAGTTGGCCCCTGAGAGCATTTTGAGTTGGGATGAGTTAGCCCGAGTGTTTACCAGAACATTTGAGAGCACTTGCAAGAGACCTGCTGGTCTACCGGAATTGCAGCATTGCATGCAGAAACCGAATGAAACCTTGAGAGACTATATCCAGAGATGGATCACTCTGCACCACACAGTGGAAAATGTGTCAGATCACCAAGCAGTCTGTGCCTTCTAGGAAGGCGTTCGCTACAGAGAGCTCAATGTGAAGTTCGGTCGGACAGGAGATATGACCCTAACACGGATGATGGAGATTGCCACCAAGTACGCTAATGGCAAAGAGGAGGACCGACTTCGGAGAGGTAAGAACAAAACAGTCGCCCAAGACACTGGAGGAAGAAATTCCAGGCGGAAGCAGAAGCGAAAGGCTGAGGCAGCAGGTCCTGCCGAAGCAGAAGTGTTGAATCAAGGAAAATTCAAAGGGAAGCCCAAAGGGCCTTGGGCCCCTAAGAAAGTGAAGGACCAAGATGGAAACAATGTGATGGATTTCCCGTGTCACATTCACACCAAGAAGGATGAGGAGGGGAACCTGATTCTCCCCAAGCATACCACTCGACAAAGTCGACTCCTAATCCAGAACTTCCGAGAAAACAAACCCAATGAAAAGGACAAAGAGTCCCATAAGGAAGAAGAAGATAAGGATGATGATGATGGTTACCCCGATGTCAATGCCACCTTGGTGATTTTTGCTGATCCCGAGAGCAGAAGTCGACTGAAGGTCATTAACAGAGAGGTGAACATGGTTGCTCCGGCAACACCAAGGTATTTGAAGTGGTTAAAAAACCCCATCACATTCGACCAGTCCGACCACCCGGCACGCGTAGCCACCCCTGGGTGGCAAGCTCTAGTGGTCAACCCAGTCGTGGGGGGCACCCGACTGACCAAGGTTCTGATGGATGGTGGCAGTGGTCTGAATATCCTGTATGCCGAGGCCCTCAAAGGAATGGGCATTCCGATGTCCAAACTGAGTGAGAGCAACATGCGATTCCATGGAGTCATCCCAGAAAGGAAGCCGAATCACTCGGCCAAATCACTCTTTACGTGGTTTTTGCCGATGAGAAGAATTTCCGCAAGGAGAAGTTGACGTTTGAGGTTGTGGATTTCCAGAGTGCCTATCATGCCATTCTGGGCAGACCTACCTATGCTAGCTTTATGGCACGACCGTGTTATGTATACCTCAAGATGAAGATGCCTGGCCCCAGAGGCGTGATAACGGTTTTAGGTAACCATAAGAGAGCAGAAGACTGTCTTCAGGACGGTGCAAAAATAGCAGATGAGCATATGGCAGCAGTAGAATTTCAAGAGTACCAGAAAATTGCAGATCCGTGTGATTTGCTGCGTGCCAAGAGGCCTGTCTCGGAGTCTGCATTTCAGTCGGCCGGCGAGACCAAGCCAGTCCACATTCACCCGACCAAATCCAATGCTGCTCCGACCCATATCTCAACTACACTCGGCAA